TGTGTCTACCTCATAAGGTTACCACAGGATTAAATAAGATCATAAATTCTAAGTGCTTAGAAGAGTGGCTGGCTATGAATATTGGCTACTATTATTTTAAGAGTCTTATTCATACTTAGAGAGATGTGCTCCAAATCTGATGGTTGAGACTAAAGATGGGAGGTTCCAGGTTTTGCTGGTGTCAGACTCTGCCCTGCTAATGCCACCACTTTTTTTCTCTCTTTTGTGAATAGTGTCATGAAATGTATGGGATGCTAGGCAAGTGAGAAGGGACCCTGAAGTTGCCCCATTCTAACCTGTACATGTCCTTTTTGTTCAGGCCGCAGGCATGGTTATGGTCAACTGCTGTTTGCAGATGGTGGCACCTATCTGGGTCATTTTGAGAATGGGCTCTTTAATGGCTTTGGGGTACTGACCTTTTCAGATGGTTCAAGGTGAGTATTTCTCAGCTTTAAACAAGGGAGACTCTGATATAAAAATGGGATATTAGTGAATCTGATTGTAAGGGTCCGGGCGAGCGTCGGAGAAAGGGACCACACAAGAGACTGGCTCCATGCAATTGGCAAAAGGGGATTTATTGGGGATCCATTCCAGCGCGCTGGGGCTCCGTGCTCACTCAAGAAGGGAGAGCAGCCCAGAGCCCAGAGCAGAGGTCAAGCAGAGCTTAAGTACACTTTTTGGAGAGGGCGGGGGGCTTTGCATACATCAGAACAAATCATTATGAGGCGCGAGAAAATTGAACAACAATTCTGAAACAGGATTAGTACATTCATTGGCGGGAACAGTCTGGGCAGGGGTGATTGGTCATTTCTAAGCGGGGTACACATTTAAACTGATTGGTTTTGGAGCCAATGGAAATATTTACTGGGCAGTTCAGGTATTGTCCTAACAGCTACAGAGATTACAGGTTCCGGGGGTAGCAGAGGAATTCTAACAACGTCTTGTCTTTTACTGTTTAGCCCAGGCCTTGTAATTTAGAAGCTTTACAACGCCCAGTCTTTTACACTTTAACTCAGACTTTTGCAGCTTAGAATCAGCTTAGAAATTTTACCTTTACATGATCAACCTTGAATTTGTCCCAGGCACTCTAGAAAACAGACCAGGAGTGGGCAGTTCTTTTATTGGTTACTTTTTAAATAGATTTGAAATTCAAAATATCAGGGAGGTGAGTGACCTTCCACCCCTGCTCCATTCATTCAAATTCTTTTCCTGAGATTGAGCCTTTGAATCCTCCTGCCTCAACTTCCCAAGTAGCTGGGATTTACAGTCATGCACCACCACACTGGACTTGGTTCCATGATACTTTTTTTTTTTTTTAAAGAGGGAGAGAGAATTTTTAAATATTTACTTTTTAGTTTTCGGCGGACACAACATCTTTGTATGTGGTGCTGAGGATCGAACCCGGGCCGCACGCATGCCAGGCGAGCTTGCTACAGCTTAAGCCACATCCCCAGCCCCATGGCATTTTTAACTAATATATACCTGCAGCTGCTTGACTCAGTTAACCTGGACAGCTAACTTGCCTACGAAAGGCTAACCTCTTGGTGTTTCTGTAGGTATGAGGGGGAGTTTGCCCAGGGCAAGTTTAATGGCGTTGGAGTCTTCATTCGGCACGACAACATGACCTTTGAGGGGGAATTTAAAAATGGCAGAGTAGATGGTTTTGGTAAGTTGCATCCCGGTAGGTTGGGTAACATAGGCCAGCCTAATGTAGGTTTAGGCTGTTTAGTTTTAATTCTTCTGTGGATGTCCAGCAATTAATAGTGATCATGCCTTAATGAACCTAATGATATCTGTCAAACTCACCAATGGAGCAGGCCTGAGTAGAGCTGGGAGTTTTGTTTTGTTTTTGGTACTGGGGATTGAACCCAGGAGCACTTAATCATTGAGCTACACCCCTGTCTCCTTTCATTTTTTTATTTTGAGGCATGGTCTTGCTGAGTTGCTTAGGGCCTCACTACGTTTCTGAGGCTGGTCTCAAACTTATGATCCTCCTGCCTTAGCCGTGGTACCCAGCTGAATTTTTTACTTCTATAGCCTCTACACAAAAGCTGAGCTCTGCAACGTTAATGTCACTGTCATATTTTCTCTGCCCTCAAAGGCCTGCTGACTTTCCCTGATGGTTCTCATGGAATACCCCGCAACGAAGGTCTATTTGAGAACAATAAACTGCTGCGGCGGGAGAAGTGTTCTGCGGTAGTTCAGCGGGCCCAGAGTGCCTCCAAGTCCGCCAGAAATCTCACTGCTTGATGGGGCAGTGGGCACAGCTGGAATAGTGTCAGTAAAGCCCATGACCACCTGAGATGAACAGAATGAACCAGATCTCAGATGAGATGAGGATGACCACGGAGCCGAAGCCTGTGATGTGTCCCATCACCTGCCAATCAGCAATTTGATCACAGAAAGTGCTAAGGATTTTGGCCCAAAGACCCCGCAGTGGTTAGCAGATCTGTCTTTTCCTGATGCTTATTTGCTGAAGACAGGAGCTGTGTTTTCTTACTTGTCGACATTTCCTGTTCTTGAGACCTGGGGTTACCCAGTACAGAGTGGCTGCAGCCTTCACTCCATTTACTGCCAAGTGATTCAGAATCTCCTCATTCTGCCTGTGTTTGGGCACATGACCCTAGCCCCCACTTAGGGCCAATGCTGGGTGCTGCCCTGGCAAAATGAGGTACAAGATAGACAGTACAGTGACCCTGTGAAAGTCGGGCCAGAACTTCTGTGTACATGAGCCCCTCATTCAGTGCAGTTTGAATCCTGGCTCCAGGCTCCAACTTTGTCTGATCAGACTAGTCTTTGTGTCTGCTTATTTCCCCTATGAAGGATCTGGTAAGAGTGTTGTTTTCTTCTTTCTTGACTTTACAAGTCATGTTCTTTACCTGAGTTAGGGCATATATTCCAATCTCCATTTGTGTCTCTCCGTCCTTAGAGTCTATCAGACAGAATCCCTTTGTGGTATAGTCAAGAAAGAAACTGATGTAATAGTAACCTCATAAGTTGTATTCATTACTCACTCCAGGTCAAGGGGCAGACATATCCGGCCTCAAGGCCTTCCTGGGGGGTGGACTAAGTGTTGGGGAAGGCCTGCATCGACATAGTTCTTTCCCTATAGGTGGTAGATCAGACTCACCTACACCCCTGGGTGTAGGTAGACTCACACCCACCCTGGGACTGTGGTGAACTAAAAGCATTGGCTGTTCCTCGCATTTGACTTGCTATAACTCTCCCACCAAGAGCCTTGATCTTCAGGCCTTGGTCAGATTTTGGAAGGTGGAATCCCTATACAGTTCATCATGAGGCCTCCAGTTACCACAGGACCCAGACACACCCCCAGCTGCCATCCTCACACTGAATCTTCCTCAATAGCAGACTATGGTGGAAATTATAACCGTGTGCCTCTATTTATTCTGTGAACTGTATTGTAGAATCAAGTGTTCATAGAAATAAACAAATCACCAGATCTGCCTATACTTTGTTTCTATGACTTTCTTGCCCTGAATCCTCATGAATACCAACACATTTGTTCTTTCTAAAAGTTAAATCAGTGTGGGGCTTGGAACTGACAGCTGTACTATATAAAACATCACCTAATTCTCAGAATGTCTGCAGAGTAGAATGTATGAACTTTTTTTTTTTTTAATCAGACAAGATTAAGTTGCCCAGAGTGGTGAATGGATAAGTAGAGCTGGGTGGAATTTCTATCACGGTCGTTCTGATTCCAACTCCCTTTCCATAGGCCTCCTCTCACCCTGAACATCAGAGTGTGCAAGGCCTGAGACCATTATTGCCAGGCCTGCTGGTTGACTTTAGTCATGTCACCTCATACCTGGAACACTAGAGCGACAGAACTTCCCCCACCATGTTATGTGGGAGGCCGACATAGCATGTGACCAGCGTTTGCTTCCCCTCCTGATCAGTGTGGTACTGTCGGTCACCCCGTGATCTAGTTGCTTAAGTAACTGAAGCCCCGATCTTAACGCAATGTGTCTTCATGCATGGGCGTAACTTCCTACATCCCCAGGGATTGAGCTACGTTCACCTGTTCCTTTGTGATATTACCCCTTGCCCTGTTCGGGATAGAATGTTCCATGGAAACACCCTTTGTGTCCCCTCTCTTACTCTGCCCTTGGGTGAGGCCTACTAGATGTCAGTCAACCTGCTGACAGCAGACATCATGAAGCTAGACTCAGCCCCTTGAAACCTGACCCCTTGCCTCATTTGAATGGCTTCTCCTCAATAAAAGGGGTCAGCTTTCTCTCTCTGCAGACCCCTAAGGTCAGAGGAGTCATCACAGCACCCTCAAAGAAAAAAGTATTTCTGTCTCTTGTGTGGTTATTTGGTACAGCCCAGTCCCCTGGAGTGACCCCTGAGTGTTTAAGTCACCGGGAACACGACAAAGTTACCCCTTTACATACCTGCTGTTACTCAGTCTTGGGAGGAAGGTATGATTATTATCCTGTATTACAGATGCTCAGGGAAGGTAGGTGGCTTCCACAAGGTCCCATGGACACTAGGAGCAGTAAGGACTGGGCATTTAAACCCAGGCATATTGAAGCAATAGAGGTCCCGTCCACCAGCCTTCCTCCCTAGCCCTCACATTTTTCCTTCAACCCTAAACCCAATTCTCTGAGCCCAACTTCTCTAGAAGGTGCCTGTGAGAAACCCAGCAGCCAAAGCTTCAAGCTTGAATGACATCAGATGGCCAGTTTCAGTTGAAGGTTATTGTCAGTAATTTTTAAAAAGTACTTGGTTTTCCATATATAACCACTGAAAAGTGTTAAACATTTTGAAGAAAGCACCCTCTATGATTTTGTGTTTCTAAATATTTTACTTGCACCCTTTCAACTCTTATAGTCTCCCATTTGAAATCATGAAGAGTTCCTAGGCCACCACAGATCTAATGGCTCTTTGCTCAGTAATGTGAAAGGCAGACAGTTAAGGATTCAGTTCCTCCAGGAAGGTTCTTGACATCTGACCAGGAAACCTAGTACACAGCCACATTGGTTTTACTTGTTAAACTTTATTATTATAGTAATAAAGTGATTATTTTTAATAATAAAAGTAGGGTGTTGGGGATGAGGATGGAGCTCAGTGGTAGCACACTTGCCCTGGGTTTAGTCCCCGGTACTGCCCCCAACCCCCGAAAAAAGTATGATGCCTATAGACAAGAGGATAGCCCTGTCTCAGGGCAAGTCCCTCTCCCTAGTGTTTCAGAACTGGGCTGGTCAGAATGTTTTCTAGAATGAACGCAGACCCTTGTTTGTCCACCAGGTGTCATTGTTTACCAGTCTGACAAGCCACTGGGCACTCAGTGATGGAAATCAAAACTAGAGACAAGAATATGAAATGAATGAAAATAGATTTAGGAAAGGGCTTTGTGGCTAGAATGCAGCTTGGGAGCCTTTCAAAGACCAGCGACACCTTCCTGTTCAGGTTTTCTAACCGGGTACTTCCTCTGGAAGGAATCAGAACTTGGGTGCTTAGGCATAGCCCTGACTTCCAGCCATATTGTGCTAGACTCAGGTTCGTAGACTCCAATTTAAGTAGTTGTCCATACTGTCCAGTTGCCCCCCTGCCCTTCCCATGGGCTCCCTAGTTTATGAGACTTAGGACAGAGGAAAGCATCCACAGTAAAAAGATCAAGACTGCTCCTTCCTAGTCTGAAAGTCTCTAGACAGACTTTTCTCACAGACTCTGAGAAAAGGAGATTGCATGGAGGTGCCCAGTACAAGCCACCTGGAGGAGAAAGTGGAAGAGAAGCCTCTCCCCCCTGATGCTTGCTGCTCCTCTTAAGGCTATGGGACCAGGCAGGAGACTGAGATGACACAGGCCTCAGCGTACTCTGCTTGCCCTCAGAGCCAGCCATTGCTGCTGAAATCCAGGCGCAGAGCCTCCTCCTCCACAGGGCTCAGCTCCTGCAAGGGGGCACGACAGGGTCCTCCATAGTAGCCAAACCAGTCCATGGTTTTCTTCAGCCCTGGGATTCCAAAGCGCCGGGTCACCTGAGAAGCAGGGTCTGTTAGAAGAGACTGTGGAATGCCGTGCAAACACCTACCCAGTACCCAGAGACCTATCACTTTCAGACAGTTGGGGTTCCCACTCTCCTTCCCCTGTAAAGAAACTACCAAATGTGTGGCACCCAGGATAGATTGGGAATCCAGATTTAGAGACCAGAAAGCAGGTCTGTAATGGAAAAGTGCAAAAACCTTGGATTGAGCAAGGAAAATGCTTCTTTTGGTTTTAGGAGAAAAAATCCATCCCAATATGAAGGAGAGTGGCATCTAGCCTTTAAGCTGGAATGGGAGAAGGCAGTAAAGACTAGGCACTAGTGCATCACCAGTCTGCATCCCAGTTCCCAGAGCCTGATCTGGTCACATCAGGCCTGGGAATTAGGAGGAAACTTCAGGCATAACCAGACCCTTACCCCTGGCATCAGGGTCTGCATCCACCCATAGCTCCTCCAGGGCCCTGTTTAAATGCCTTCACAGGAATAACAATCCATCATTGTTCAAAGAAGTTTTGTTGTAAAACTCTATGTTATTTTATTATCTGAGCAAATTCTCTTGTCCAAAAAATGAAGGGGCTAGACAACATGATCTCTAAAGGCTTATCTGTTATAGTAGGGGACCTAACACTTTTGCCCTAATTTAAAATGATGCATGAAATTTTACAGAATAAATGAAGCATCAAGTTTCTTTGCTTTTGATATAGCAACATGTTACTTAATATGATCAAAAGTGTTAGATGAGGCCGGGTGCAAGGGTGCATGCCTGAAATCCCAGCAACTCAGGAGGCTGAGGCAGGAGAATCAAAAGTTCAAGGCCAACCTCAGCAAATTATTGAGGCCCTAAGAAACTTAGTGAGACCTGGTCTCAAAAAAAAAAAAAAAAAAAAAAGTTGTAAATAGGGCTGGGGATGTAGCTCAGTAGTAAAGTGCCCCTGGTTTCAACTCCTAGTAAAATAAAATAATAAAATAAAAATTAAAGGAGCTGAGTACGAGTGTGTGACTAGTGGTATTGTGGCCCTGGGTTCAATCCATAGTATAAGAAGGAAGGAAAGAAGGATGGAAGGAAGAAATAGCTTTTATTTGGAGGGAAGGCAACATCTTAGAAGTATGGGCTTTATGAAGGGTAAGAATAGTGAGGTTGTTTGGGGTAGAAGTAACTATTTACCACTAGAGACCAGTAGGCTTTAGCAAGCCCAGGTTTTTTCTTGGGATGAATAGTAAGTCACTCTCCTGCAAGGCCTAGTCCTACCCATGATGTTCTAACAGTCTGGTCTTTTACCCAAAACTTCTCTAGTTGGAAAAAAAACCAGGGGAAGAGATGAAACTAAGTGGTACCTGGGAAAAATTCTGTTTCTACCATGTTTTTCTGGAATGCTGGCATACCCTCTTCAGGCCCAGAAAAGGGCCAGCTGTTTGGTGCTAAAGACCACAGAAAGTCCTAAATATAGCCATGGGCAGGAGGAGGGCTGGGGGTGGGGAGGTAGAGGAAGAACATTGCATTCGATCAGGGCAGGGCAATAGAGTGACATCAGGCTGCTCTTGGGGTGTCTGAGCCTACAGCCCAGGCAGTGGCAAGGTGTTCCAGGCATTCCTGAGTGTGTGCCCAGAGCTGGCACAGGAGAGCATACAGCATGAGGATAAAGCAAGATGGGGTAAGTGGACTGCATGCAGAGAGTTGGGTTGGCAGCTGGACCTCCTATCTTCCCAAGGGGGAACCCGAGCTGCTTGTCTGTAAAACAAGTCGATAACTACACCTACCCATAGAGATGTCACAAGGACCAGATGAGAAAATCACCACTAATATTAGATCAGTCCCCAGAGTCCCAGGAAGCATCACCTCCTTTTTCTGTCCTAGGGAATGCAGGTTCTGGAACCTTCTCTTTCATAGATAGTTTGGAGTGGGAAAAACTGAGCCCCCGCCCCCAGTGGAGTGTCCATTATGTTCAGGGCAGCCTGTGCCCCATGGGCTTAGCTGAAAGGCACTCATTTCTGTGGTTTTAGAATGGCTGACCCCAGGGAAGCTTCCCATACAGGAAGACTCATGCTTTCCTTCTCAGGCGTCCTTTCTCTAAAGCTGAGTTAATCTGCTCTTTTGAGGTAAGGATACAAGCTGAGGAAGGTCTGGAACCTGTCCTCCATTTTACCAAACAAAGCACCATTGAAAGTGCCTGTAACACACAGCCTAGGACTACTGTGTGCCTTCCATGCCCAACTTAAGGAAAAGCAGAAAAACAAAACAAAACAAAACAAACAAAAAACACAAAACAAAACTCAATAATCAAGATTAAGAATATTGTGATCTAATTTTTTTTTTTTTTGGTGGTGGCACTGGAGATCGAACCCTCAAACCCAGGACCTTGAACATGCTAGAAATGTGCTTCATTACAGAGCTACACAATTTATTTTTCCTGGCACTGGGGATTGAACCCAGAGGCACTTTGCTACTGAGCCACATCCCAACTCTTTTTTTCTTTTTTTGAGTCACAGTCTTACTAAGTTGCTGAGGCTGGACTTGAACTTGACATCACCCCACCTCAGCCTCAGGAGACACTGGGATTACAGGTGTACATCTCCATGCCTGGCCCAACACAATATTTTTTAAAAAATCAAAACCAAGCCAGGAGCAGTGGTGCACACCAGTAATCCCAGTGATTCAAGAGACTGAGGCAGGAGGATCTCAAGTTTGAGACCTCCGCTAGGCACAGTGTCACATGCCTGTAAATCCCAGCAGCTCTGGAGGCTGAGGTGTGAGTTCAAAGCCTGCTTCAGCAAAAAGCAACTCAGTGAGACCCTGTCTCTAAATAAAATACAAAATAGGGATGAGGATGCAGCTCAGTGGTCAAGTGCTGATGAGTTCCATACCTGGTACCATAAAAATAAAAAGAAGAAGAAGAAGTCTGGGGCTTCTGCAACTCATCAGGACCCTTTCTCAAAAGAAAAAATAAAAAGGGCTGTAGGTGTAACTTACTGGTAAAGCACCCATGGGTCCAATCCCCAGTAACAGAAAAAAAAAAAAAACTCAATGCAAAAATCTATCATGAAAAGTTTCAACACGAACTCAAATAGAGCCCTACCCTATTTTAGCATGAGGCAAAAGTAAACATGCGAACTCCTGTGTACATATTTTTTTGTTTGTTTGTTTTTAATGTCTGCCCCCCCCATAGAAGTAGATGTGGGGGGAAAAAGTTTTAGTGAGTTTTCTTTCAATAAACCAGGAAAGTAAAATTATAATAAATTGTGTTTGGGTATATATAAAATAATTAAACCTAAAATAATGCTGTGAGTTTTTATATACCCACTTTGCAATATATTTTTTCAACTACTTTAATGTTCTGGTGGCCAGAGGGAACCCCTTTTTTAGAAAAAAAAAAAAGAATTTCCACTTCCTGGAAGATGAAGTAAATGTACTTGTCCCTGTTATTTTGATAAGTACAACTAAAAACCCTGGACATTATATAAAAACACACATGAGACTCTGAAGGGTTGAGAGAAGGAAGACCAACCAGGGACCTCAAGCCCCAGGCAGAGCACAGTGGTGAGTCTGCGGGCCCACGCTTGGAACTGAAGGCAGCAACCATGAAACGCCATTGGACATGGACAACAGAAGTCCCAACCAAGCCAGTTGTCTCCAGCCAAAAGACCAGGAAAGGGGCAGTCCAGCAAAATGGAAAACTTGCAAGAAACTACTACTCTCTATTCTAGCCAAACATCACAGAGTACACTGTGGCCCCACCCCAACCAGGCCAGCAAAGCCTGAACTTCCAGTCTGATATCACTCAAGATGGATGGTGTCAAAGAGGTCTAGTGGAGGAGAGTCAGGACTTTGATCACTGCCACCCATAAGCAGACCACCCAGTGCTTCCCCTCTGCCACTCCTTCCCCTGGCCCACCAGACACACAGGTGAGGGCGTGTGAGGGCAGAAAAGAGACTCTTCACCCTTCAAGCCAAATCTGTAGAAGCCTAGTGCACAACTCAGCTACATCCCCAACCAAAGAGGTATAATTTTTTTTAACTCCCAAAGAAGAAATCCACAAGTGTCTATGGTTTCAACTAGAGAATTCTACAAATTAAAGAATATAGTACCAATTCTATACAGCCTCTTTCAGAAAACAGAGAAGGGGGGAACACTTCCCAATTCATTTTAGCAAACTATTTTTACCCTGATACCAAAACCAGAGGCTAAACAAAGGCTAAACTAAGGCTAAACAAAAAAGGAAAAAGGAAATTGCAGACCAACAACCAATATTCCTCATGAATACAGACACAAAAATCCTTAACAAAATATTAGAAAGTGAAATTCAATAATGTATCAAAAGAATTAAACACCATGACTAAGTGAGGTGCATTCCAAGGAAGCAAATCTGTGCCAAACGTTTGAAAATTACTTTATATAATCCACCATGTTAACAAGCTAAAGAAGAAGCAGTCACATGATCCTGTCAATCAGTGCAGAAAATCATTTGACAAAATTTCAACACCCATTCATGATTTTATAAAAGTCTTAGAAAACTTATAATAGATGGGAGCTTCCTCAACTTGATAAAAAAGAGCTATAAAAACCTAGAGCTGAAAAAAAATAATAATTTTTAAAAAACCCTAGAGTTGACATTTAACTTAATGGTGCAAGACTGAATGTTTTGTTTCCCTTAAGATCAGGAACAAGAAAGGAATGTCTGCTCTCACCACTCAGTCCCCACTCTGCAGGAAGTCCTGGTCAATGCAATAAGGCAAGAAAAGAAATACAAGGCATACAGAACGGAAGGGAAGTCACTAACCATCCTTATTTGTAAATGATCTGAGTGTCTATGTAAGAAATCTATAAAGCAAAATCTCCTAGAACTAGGAGTTCAGCAAATTCACAGGACGTAAGATAGAACTGCAAAAATTATATTTCTAAAAGCTAGTATTAACCACTTGGGTAGTGAAATTAAAAGTACAATTCCATTTTAGCTGGGTACAATGACATACACCTGTAATCCCAGCAAATTGGGAGGATAAGGCAGGAAGATTGCAAATTCAAGGCCAGCCTCAGCAATTTAGATTTTAAGCAACAGAGATCCAGTCTCAACATAAAAAATAAAAAGGGCTAGGGATGTAGCTCAGTAGGGAAGTACCCCTGTGTTCAATCCCCAGTACCAAAGCAAATAAAAAATTAAAAATAAAATAAATTTTTGATCACTCAAAAATATGAACTACTTAAGTATACATTTCTCAAAATATGCACAGGACTTTTTTTCTGAAAACTACAAAATACTGAAGAAATAAATCAAAGAAGATCTGAATAAATAGAGCCTCACACAGTGCTCAGGAATTAGAAGATGACATAGTGAAGGTACCAATCATCCCTAGACTGTTATTCAGGTTGAACAAAATTGCTATCAAAATCTCAACAAGATTCTTTTGTAGATATAGACAAAATTCCATTTATATGGAAAGACAAAGGAATTAGACTAGCTAAAACAATTTGGGGGGGGGAGGGACAAAGTGGGAGGCATTAGTCTATTGTAAGATTTATTTTAAGACTTGTGTGGCTACAACAATCAAGTCTGAGTGGTATTGTGGAGGGATAGACCCATAGATCAATGGAAAGAATAAAGAGCCCAGAAATAGACCCATACAAATATGCCCCATTGATTTTCCACAAAGGTGCAAAAGCAATTCAATTCAATGGAGGAAAGACAGCTTTTCCAACAAATGGTGGGGAGCAAATAGATATCCATAGGCCAAAAAAGAAAAGGAAAGGAAAGGAAACTTGACCCAAGACTCACATTTTAATCAAAAATGAACTCAAAAATGGGTCATAAACTTGAAAACGTAAAACCATAAAACTTTTAGGAAAAGTGATAGGAGAAAAACTTCACATTCTAGTTCAAAGCAAAGAATTCTTAGATTTGACAACAAAAGCATGATTCATAAAAGACAGCACTGATAAATCTAAAACTTTTGCTTGAAAAAAATACTATAAGGAGAATGAAAAGACAAGCTACAGACTGGGGGAAAAAATGTTTACAAATCACATCTCCAACAAAGGACTAGTATCTAAAAAATACAAGTAACTTGCAAAACTCAACAGTGAAAAGCCCAAACAATCCAGTTAGAAAACAGGCAAAGGGAGGCACATCATCCCAAGGACTCCAGAGGCTGAGGCAGGAATTTAAAAGTTTGAGGCTAGCTTGGGCAATTTAGCAAGACTCTGTCTCAAAATCAAAAGGGCTGGAGGTGCAGCTCAGCGGTAGAGTGCTTGCTTACCTGTGGAAGACCCTGATTTCAAACCCCAGTATCAACAGAGAGGGGGGAAAAGTATTTGAGTGAAGAGGTTATGATATAAGTACATGAAAAGATGTTCCATGTCATTAGCTACCAGGGAAGTGCAAATTTAGACCATAAGGTGTTACTACACCCCTATCAGAATGACTAAAATAAAAAATGGCCATAATACCAAATGCTGGTGAGGATCCAGAGACTCTGGATCACACAGACCTTCACAGGAGGGCAAATGTAAAAGGACATAGCCACTCTGGAAAATAGTTTGGCCGTTTCTTAAAAAACTAAACATGCAACCATCATCTATGGCCCATTAATTGCACTGCTATGTGTTTATCCTAGAAAAATAATAAAAATTTACGGTCACACAAAAACCTGTACACATATGTTCATGGCAGTTTTTGTTTGTTCATTTATTTGAGACAAGGTCTGACTGTGATGCCCTTGTTGGCTTCAGAATCTTTTTTTCGAGGGGGGGGGCAGGGAAACGGGTATTGGTGATTGAACCCAGGGGTACCTAACCACTGAGCTACATCCCCAGCCCTTTTTATTTTTTATTTTGAGACAGGGTCGCACTAAGTTGTTTAGGGCCTCTCTAAATTGCTGAGGCTGGCTTTGAACTTGTGATCCTCCTGCCTCAGCCTCCCAAACTGCTGGGATTACAGGAATGCAACACCACACCCAGATGGCCTCAAAATCTTGGCTCTCTTCTTTCAATCTCCAGAGTAGCTAGGATTACAAGTATGTACCACTGTGACCAGCTCTCATGGCAGTTTTTAATAGCCAAAGATTGGAAACAGCTCAAACCCCCTTCAAAGGGTGAATTGTTAAACAGGCTGAGGTACAGACATACCATAGAATACTACTCAGAATTACTATTGATATAGGCAACAACCTGGGTGAATCTCCCAAGAAATAATGCTGAGTGAAAAAAGTCAATCCCCCAAAGTTATATACTATGTTTCCATATAGTATAGTCTTGAATGCTACCAAATAGTATATTCCAGAACTGACAAAATTATAAAAATGGTGAACATTATTTGAGTCACCAGGAGTTAAGGAAGGAGTGGGAACGGGGCTGAGTAGGCATGGTTGTAAGAGGGTAGCAGGAGGGATCCTTGTGGTGATGGTATCAACTTGAAGTTGACTGTATCAACTTCAAATATAGTATATCTTATCCAATATTGTAAAATTATTCTATAGATTTGTAAGATGTTACCATTGGAGGAAAGTTGGATCTTTCTGGATTATTTCTTAAAACTGTATTGTCTCAAGATTAAAAGTTTAATTTAAAAAATATATAAAAAGCATATATAGAGAGAGGCACACACTTTTCTGTTTGCCTCAAACTTCAAAATGGCTTTGATCTTGACAATCAGTCCATCTTACATTCTTCTCCTTGACTCACCCAACACAGAATTGGGGCACACAGTCTGATTGCAGAATAGATTATTGAAGACAGAACTCTCCTGGGAAATCAGGGTTCTGAACATCATCAACCTTCCAACTTCTCTTTTCGACTCCTAATCATTCAGATTTTTAAGATTGGTTCCTGAAAAGCTGACCTAAAGACTCGCGGACCACTCTCTAAGGCAGTGTATCTCTTAGTATGGTCCCAGGATTGCTTGAGTTGTAATACACAGGACACTTGTTTTAATTCATATTCAAGGAATTAGGACTTTTGTGTAAGCCTCCAGAGGAATTCTAATGCATACATAAGCAACAGGGCTCAACTTTGTCTGCAGCCAAGATTTTCTGGGGAGGCACAAGAAGTTTCCACACTTTCTAAATAAAAAGTCTTTCTGAAAGGGCAGGGATGGGGCAGGGGTGGAGGGAATGCTAGCCTGGACTCCCTCTTCAATGAGAATACAGAGCCCCTCCCCTGCTGCCCCTGGCTGGGAGAGCTCACCGCAGCGTTGGGTTCAATGAGACGGTGCTGCAGCTTCTGGGCAGCTTCCCATTGCCCTGTGAGGCAGAGTCGCTCCAGCTGGCACACCTGGGCCCCCAGGACATTGGCCAGTGCACACACGCCCCCCACAGCTCCTGCCCAGAGCAAGATAAAGAACATCAGCCTCAGCCACTTCCCACAGAGAATCCCAACCTCTTCATTCTGGGGACACAGGATCTAGATTTCTGTGCTCCTGTTGGCCTCGTCAAAGGCATGTTCTGCGAGTGCAGAGTACATATTTCCAGAGAGAAAGGCTGCCTGTATATTCAAAATGGAAGCCTGCAGGCCAAGAGCTGCTCAGCTGTCTGAGGAGCAGGGAATAGCTCAAGGACAGTTTCTCCCTTGCATCCAGCTACCATCTCCCAGAGCCAGGTCACCCTGGCCGCATGACACCTCCAGAATTCCTCCAATGCCCCCTGATTCACCAGGCCTGGGAGGACTGGAGTGGTTGGGCACTGGTGCTCTTCTGAAATCTCCTTCCCCCTGTAAATTCAAGCTGGGGTGGAGGAGTGGAAAGACCTCTGAGTACAGCATTAGGAGACCACATATTTCCTCCCGCTGGCTGCATGATCTTGGAAAGTCACAGAATCTCTCTTATCCTCTGTTCTTATCTAAGCAAGGAAAATGGGTTGGCTGTGATCCCCGAAAGCTCTGCCACATCTGCAGCCTCTGAGCATGATTCTGAGTCTAGTTAGAAATGACACTAAGCACAGTGCCCTCAAAAGGAAAGAGTAGAGACAATTTGGAATGAGCTAATACAGCTGCCATTTATAGAATACCTACTATGTACCAGGCACTCTAGCCAATGGAAGGGGGATGCTTTCATTTCCTTTTACTTTATAGAGTAGAAACTCATGCCCAGAGCGGTTGAGTGTCTTTCCCTTATTGATTCATAAATGGCAAAGTTGAGATTTTAGCTCAGATAATCCCACCTCCAGAGCTTGTGCTCTTTCCCATTCACCCCACTCTCAGGAAGGAGGACGAAGTGGGTTCCCTCTTCTTCCCCTGCTCTGAGATGGGGGATGTGCCAGGACCTAGACAGCAAGCCAAAGTCTGCAGAGATCAGAGGGAATAGGACCCAGTGTTGCCCCTTGCAGTACTAGAAAAGTTGCTCAAAGCTGAATCCATGGGCCTCTTGCTGAAGGGAAAAGACGCTGCCATCATACCCCCTTCCTTTCGTGGCCGAGGCCCCACTTGAACCAAAGAACTTTGATCCAAAACAGACAAGAGTAGTTTATCTAAGTGACATCCCTAGTATCCTTGACGGGGACAGAATCTGCTCAGGCAGCCAGGCACAGTGGCATATGCCTGCAATCCCAACAGTCTGGGAGGCTGAACCACGAGGATCAAAGTCAGCCTCAGCAATGGCAAGGCACTAAGCCACTCAGCGAGACCCTCTCTCTAAATAAAATACGAAAAATAGGGCTGGGGATGTGGCTCCATGGTTGAGTGCCTGAGTTCAATCCCTATACAAAAAAAAAAAAAAAAAAGAATCTGCTCAAGCAGCTGAAGATCCCTGACCCAACCCTGCAGGTCTGACAGTTCACTCTGGCCTGGGATTAAGCAGGGAGTAAAGTGGACTTCTGTCCTAGAGGGGAAGCCTCAAGATCTCTGCCCTCATAGAACTATTTGCAAGATGAGGTTAAAGGAGCTAAAGTTGTCATCTAAGCATGGGGACTTTGTACAAACTTCGGCCCAGGGATTGCACGTAGCCGCCCCCTCCACCCAACAAAGTCACTCTCAAGCATTCAGGTTCAAACAAGCAAGCAGGGTGGCCAAGTTTCTGACAAACCACCCAGTCTTACTCCCAGTTTTCCTGCTTAATTGGTCACCCATGACAGTTTAGAGCAGCGGGTGGCCTACCCAAGGCATAGCTGGCCATCAGGAAGCCCGCCGATCCGGCCAACACCTGGAAATCCTGCTTGCTGGTCTTGTGAACGATCAGCCCAATCCTGGTCACCTGCAATAGCAAACCTGGTATGAGAGCTGAGCCCAGGACCTCAACCTCCCACCTAGATGAGCTGGGCCGATGTTGCAGAATGACAGTTCAGTTCTCAGAGAGATGCCTTTGAGGACAGACAATGCCCCAGTAAGCACATGCAACAGAGAAGCCCAACAGGAGCCCAGGAATAACACAGATCTCAGAGCTTCCCTGAAGGTGGTGGCTGAAATGCCAGGGTCCAGACAAAGAGGAGGGTGCCCAGCCAGGGAGCCGCTGCCACTCACGTCACCACCGCTGTCCTTCATGCCCACAATATTCGGGTGCTGGGAAAGCTTGACCACTGCATCCACAGGCAGGTCCAGCCCCGTGTTGGCTGGGACACTGTACAGCACCACAGGGATTGGAGAGAGGTCAGCAACCTGAGGGGTACAGAGAAAAACGGGGAGAGGGCAGCCAGCCCAGGCCCTTGGAATTGGAGTTTTTCCTGCACAGGTCCTGGCTGGGGTGACTGCATGGCTACCTGGACAGGCCTACCCCCTCACACTAAGCCACCTGTGCTGCAAGCCCCAACTGTAAGCAGCAATGACAGCAACGATCTGTCTCCATCCTCAACAATCCACGAGGTAGATGTCTTTATTCCTCCCATTTCGGAGAGGAGGAAATAATGACAGAGAGTGGTTAGCTAGTCACCCAGTGTCACCCAACTTGAACATGGTGGCATTCCACCCATGTCCCATAGCTACTATTCACATGAAGAGGAGCCTCTGCCTCAGCCAGCCTCCTTTTGGTCTCAAGCCTCTGACTGGTGCCCACCTTGGTGTAGTGGTGAATGAGGGCAGCGCTGTTCATGCGGCCACGGAAGTAGCAAGGGGTCACCACCATAGCAGCATCCGCCCCGACCTGCGCCATGCTGACAGTCATCTCCACTGTGGCTTGAGTGGCTGCAGGAGGGAGGAGGAAGGAGGCCTGGGTCAACACGCTGGGCCAAGCAAAGGGGGCCTCAGCATGGCCCAGAAGAGGCAGAACAGAAGAGGTCAGACAGAAACTGACCCCAGAGCCAAGGAGCCTGAACCCCACAGCCCAGCCACACTCACACTCGCAGCCGGAGCCCGCTAGCAGGAGCTTGTCCTTGGGTATGACCTGGCGCACGCGGCTCACCACCTCCAGGCGCTCTCTGCTGGTCAGGAAGGGGAACTCGCCAGTGGAGCCCTGGACCACAAAGCCTGCAACAGAGGCCCCATCACAGTGACTGACACCTTCCTGTCCTCTTAGACCCATCAGGACATGTGTTCAACACTAGCAGGCTCTACCTCCCCAACACCATAGCTCTTCACACCTTTGCTTCTGGTCCTTGTCCTGACACCGGCAGGACGTTCACTAGGTGCATGGTGGCATTCTCATTCCCATCAGTTTTCTTGGTTTTAGTGAAAAGTTTTAGAGAATAGTCAGTAATAGAGGCTACACATATCCAGCACCCACAGCAACTCTCCCATGATCCCCTTCCTCTTCCTTGTCTCTCTGTCCCAACTCAGGTGTTTATTGTCCTCATTCATACCTTTATATACTGGCAGCATACATATGGACCCAAGAACAAGATAATATGGTATTTTAGGGTTTTTTGGGGGGAGGTACCAGGGCTGAACTCGAGGGCACATGACCACTGAGCCACGTCTCCAGCCCTATTTTGTATTTATTTAGAGACAGGGTTTCACAGAGTTGCTTAGCACCTTGCTTTTGCTGAGGCTGGCTTTGAACTCTAGATCCTCCTGCCTCAGCCTCCCATGCCACTGGGAATACAGGTGTGAGTCACCACACCTGGCAATAATATGGTTTTTGCAATTTAAACAATGTAGAAATAGAACCAAGCTTACATGACCTTCTGCAGTTTGCTGCTTTCATTTACCATTATGTTTTGAGCTTTGTCCACAGCAGCACCCATGGCTGTGATTCATCCATTTTAATTTCTGTAGAGGGTTCACTTGTATGGGCAGACCACAGTTTGTTTTTCCTTCTCTTGTTGAGGCCTGGGTCAACAGTGACTGACAAAAAGAGTCTTCCCACTCCTGGGTTCATCAGGGACACCCCAGCATCCTCAGGAGCTGTCCCTACAAGTGTTCATCCATGGCAACTCTTGGTATGGTCAGACTGATTTTGGCCAACTTGGGGGCTGAAAAGTGATATCTCATTGTTTTGAGATATTTCATTTGCATTTTCCTGTCTTATCAACCAATTATCCGAAGATTTCTAATACGCACCAGGTATAGGTGTAAGGTGTCAACATTATATTTCTATAAGAGACCAGCTAAATTGATGCCCTTCAGCTAAACTGGAAAAGGATAGTAGTAGAATTATTTCCTCCCAAGTTTTCCCATGTAACTTTTCTTTTCCTCCTTTATTTCTCCTCCACTCTATTCCATTTCAAAAAACAAACCACTCAGGTAGTTACAAACACAGCACATGATCCAATAGGATTTATTCATAAATAGAACGAAAATTAGAAGAATGAAAAGAAAGCTGAGACCAGCACTGACATCCAAAATCCCTGCCATACATTTGTGAGAGATGAGCCATAAATGGGAGACGGAGCTTCCCGACAGTCAAAGCTAAAAGGGAAACATGGTCAGCTAACAGATATGTAGAACCCAAAACATAAAAGCAGCTGCTCTGGAGAAACACAGAGTTTCCTGGCACTGAGACCAAGAGAAATTGTTCCTGTGAGTCATCCTTAAGGGGACACAGTGTGATGTAGACTCAACTTTGTACCACAAAACTTTTTTCGTGCTGTTCACTACACTATTAGACTCTATTGCGTGGGTTGGCAGAACAGCCCTCACTCGAAAGTGGGCTTTTTAAATTTTATTTTGAGTCTTTGCCTTGGTAGCGTTGCAAGGAACATTTCGAGGCAAATAGCTTTTAGCTTCTGTTGAATCGCCTCCTGAGGACTCATTGCTTTGTGTCCTGCTGGAAGCCAAAGAGAAGAGCCTCCTTGAATCTTGCTACATAAGGCCCGGCACTGTCCCTGTGGGCTGGACCCCTGTGCAAAAGCTGCTGGCCCTGGATGTGGGCTCCGATCTGGCTATGACAGGACCAGCACCCTTGACTAAGGATCTAGAGATCAAGCTCTTACCACTTCCCTTATAGGAATGCCAAAGCCATCTGTCACCCTGGGCTAGAGCAGGCTTGTGCTATGGTCTCTGCTCTAGCCACAGTCACTTCTGTCACCTTTCGTTTAGTGATCAACTCCAGAGGCCCCTGGGCCCCCTGTGGACATGGCTTCAATGCAGGACAATGGGGTCTGGCACCCCAGGAAGCAGTAGCAGGCCCGTTGCTCACAGTTCTCAGGTGGCCCTCTCTCCTGTCTCTGGAAGGGAGCATCTCAACCAGACCTGAATCCCAGGAACCCTTGACAGTGTGGTTCAGTGGGAGGGATCTGTTTAGCGAGCCAGTCTATGGCACCTCTATTTCCTTTTCTATGAAATGACAACTCATTTCAATTCTAACTTATCAGGCTGTTTGAGAGGCTCAGACAGGAAAATGTATCAGAAAACACTTTGAAATCCGTAAACAGGTGACTCCCCCGTCCTCCTGGCTGGATGCCAACTGCAGGCCTGGTGTGCCTGGTAGAGAGGGGCCAGACAGGAAAAGGCCAGCGTCCCCATGGATCAGGGAGCGAGGAAAGTGGGTGACAGAGAAGCTGGGAGGCAGGACAGTAGAGTGGTCAGGGGTGTAGGCTCTGAAGTCAGACAAGCAGACCAATTTTCAGTGTGGCCCACTCATAGCTATGAGATTTGCAGAAAATGACTCAACCAAACCTCAGTTTTCTGGACTGAAAAGTGGGGATAATATTAGTCCTTTGCTCAGAGAGTCATTTTGATGGAATAAAATGCTATTTGTAAAGTACTTAGAATAGAACCTGCTCCATTAGTGTTAGCTGACTTCATATGGAATCAGGGGAAAGAGCGTTAGCCATAAGGAGGTGGCTGGTGCTGAAGGGAAGAGTTAAAGGTCCCTTTAACTCCCCACTGCCATCAGCTATAAGGTGAGCCCCTCTCAGTTTGGAAGCTACTCCCCTTCTGCTCCCATGATAATGCTGGCTGCTCTGGAGAGCTAGGGTGGCCTGAGAAGGGTACTGGGTGTTGAAGCTGGGAACACACAAGCAGCATGGTAATCTATTGTGTCCAAAAGGGAATCACAATCTTTCTCACATAAAGAGTAGCCCCTGGGCACTGTTAAGCCCTCTAGGTTTAACATCTTCCTCCTCCAGGAAGTCTCCCTGGGACCCCTCCAATTTGACCGCTCTCCTCTGCACCTCCACTAGCTGTGCCTCATACTTCCTTGTTGCTTACACCTGTGTGCAGAGGACCTCAGAACCCTTCAATACCCCATCCCACCCCCACATGCAGGACTAGGCAAAATTGCTCAATCTGGTCTCTCCTATAAAATGAGAACTTAGACCAGATGGTCTCCAAAGTCCTCCCTGGCTCTAAATTTCATAGTCACTTCTCTGGCTTCTTCCCCTGCCCTTTGCCTATATCTTAAGAACATTAAAACTGACTTCCAGTAGCCAGAGGTAGTGGCACATGCTTGTAATTCCAGTGACTAGGGAGGCTTATGGCAGGAGGATCACAAGTTTGAGGTCATCCTTGGCAATTTAGTGAGACCCTGACTCTAAAGATAAAAAGGACTGGGTATGTACCCTAGTAGTAAAGCGCCCCTGGGTTCAATCCCCAGAACCAAAACAATAATGAAAACCTAACCAACAGGGCTCATTGGTGCAGTGCTGGCCTTCATGCAGGCCTTGGGTTCCAGCTCTGCACTGCAAAAAGCCCAAACACACAGGTCAAGGGTTCCCAGTGCACTGCCCCTCCCCTGCCCCTGCCCATGTGCTCACGCCCTTCCCTTCTGCATGGACCCCAGTGAAAGCCTCTCAAGTGCTGCAGAGCCACCAAGCCTTTGCTCCCTCCACTCTATGCTCCACAGCATTTTGCTCTTGCCTAGCCCTTGGTTTGTCTGGATTCATGAAGGTCAAGGACATTGCCTCACTCATTCCGGTCTCCTCCATCACAGCAGCACAGTGCCTTGACGAGGAGATGTATTGATAATTTGTGTGTAAAAAAAAAAAAATTGTTCCAGACCTAGCCTGGGGGCAAAACTTTATTGCATGATATAATTCATAATCTCTCTCAGGTAAGAAACATCATTCCTGATAAAATGCTTAAGCAATTTCCCAATGAACTTCGGTGGAATTTAGCTTTAATCTGGGAAACCAGCCACCCTCCCAACTGACTGAGGCCAGAGTCTGGTGACTGTCAACTGCTCTTTGTATCTTAGAGTGATCTGATTGTCTCTTTTCTAGTAAGACTGTCCCCACCATGAGTATGTATTCATTGGTGCCTAGAAGATGTTTTATTTGTAACACAACTATAACAAAACTTTTTTGACATGTCCTCAAATTGTCTGAACTGTTTTTAGATCTACAGAAAAGTTGCAAAATATTATGGGGAATTTCTTAGCATTCCTCACTCAGCCTCTACCAATAACATCACCCACCTATGACACAAGAACCAGAACCAGACAATTATTGTGGGCATACCTATCTTTAACTGATGACTTTTTAATTTTGCCAATTTGAAGCTTTTTTTTAAAGTTAAGATTCCAAAATCTTAATCTGACATTTCATATAATAAACTTTGTAAAAATATTTTTTTTAGTTGTAGATGGACACAATATCTTTATTTTTATTTATTTTTTTTATGTGGTGCTGAGGATTGAACCCAGGGCCTCATGCATGCAAGGCAAGTGCTATACCACTGAGCTATAACCCTAGCCCATAAGTAGTTTTTAATAAGGAATTTGATATCTCACCAATACATGTATGCATCTTTTTCCCGGAACTGGGAATTGTATACAGGGGTGCTCTATCATTAAGATTTTTTTTTTTTTGAGACAGGTTCTTAGTAAGTAGCTCTTAAAATTGGGATCTTCCTGTCTCAGCCTCCCAAATCACTGGGATTACAGGAGTGAGCCATGACGCCCCATCTCTGTATGTGCATTTTATTTCATACTGAGGATTGAACTCAGAGTGCTTTACCACTGAGCTACATCCCCAGAATCCCCCTTTTTTGAGACAGTTGCTGAGGACCTCACTAAATTGTTGAGTTTGGCCTTGAATTTGTGATCCTCCTTCCTCAGCCTCCCGAGTTATTGGGATTACAGGTGTGCA